TAAATTTAAGTCTCATTAATTTATCCATATCCTCCTCACTGGGAAGTCGAGAGAAATCCCCCAAAGTAAAATTAAAATCTAATGGATTTATTGAGTTACAAGGTAACGAGTTGCTTAAGCATATGTGGCATGTATCAATTTCCGTTTGTTAACATGTGAGAGGCGATTTACAAATTGTTTTTTTCGCGTTTTTCCGCGTGTCCGCATGTCCGCGTTTTCCACATTACCCATATCTAGTTAGATAATAGAAATGTCAATATATTATGAGTAAATAATAATCACCTTTCAGTTTTAATTATGTCGGGGGAATAAATTCCACATTGTTTATAAAAAGTTTGTCACGAACCAGACGCACTCTTTGATTAGCCGCCTTTGCTCTTTTCATCTCCGGATATAATGTTTGTCGAACTTTCTCGATCTCCTCTGGAAACTGCTCGGAGATTCCGATCCGTGTTCCCTTCAATATTTTTGCGTTATAGCGGATCTTCTCTCGGTCAGGAAAAAAATTCAACTTTGCGACAATTGCTCTTGGTTTCCGTCGGTCGTCGCGTTTCCTGCCAACTCGGTGCGCTCGGTCGATTTTGATTTCTCTTCTTGCATCTGGCATATCTAGCTTTTCTTCTATATAGCAATTTGAAGATTATATCGGTACAATCTTCCTTATCGTGGAATAGTACGTTATCCCGCATCGATTGCGCTTTGAGGTCGATGACACTTTCTTGAAGCCGCCGGGTTAGAATCTTCTAAGATTTTGATCTTTATTTCTCTTTCGTCTTCAGCCTCTTTTCTTTCCTTCATTTCTTTCTTGAGGTCGTCTAGGTCTGCATGAGAAAAATTGATCGACTCTTCGTCTTTGATCAGGTCAAGCGTCTCCAATTTCTTCATTACAGTCTGCATCATACTACAGAGCTCGTCAATTCTATCCATTTCTTCTTCTTTCAAACCGTTTTTACTTTTAGGTGTCAATTGTTGTGTTTCTTTAGTTATTGTTGGCGTATTTTGAGCAGATTTAGCAATTTCATACGCACTGCGTTTTGAAGCGTGTTGCCTCTTCGACATGATATATGATATTTAGAACAGATCCAGCCCCTGGTTTCAAGGCCTTAGTTAACGACCCACTTCTGTGTAGTCACCGCCTTTCCATTGAAATAGGTCGAGTGAAAAACAACAATAAGAATCCCGTGGCAGAAAGAGCTGTTCAAGAGCTGCAGAACGAGCTTCTTTGACAAGACCCCTCAGATGCATGGGTATGTATCACCATTAACCCTTTCAACAGCCACTGCAAGCCTGAACTCCCGAATACGAAGCCGTGGCCTGTCCGCCAGGGAAATGTGGTATCAACGAGATCAGTTTTCTAACTCACGGTTGCCCGTTGACGACCGTCAGTTGATAACAAGCCAGCACGAGACACGCGTCAAAAATCATCCCTATAGTAAAAAATCTAAAGCTCCCCGTGAAAAAATGCCACCGTCTCCCAATTTACATGTTGGCGATCTTGTCTATCTGTCTGCCGACCGTGACAAGTCAAGTGCAAGGGATCGGTATCTTATCGTATCTGTGGACGGACAATGGTCCAATATCCAGAAATTTCGTGGTTCACAGATACACAACACTTCGTATCGAGTAAAACGTATATAACGAGTGCTATAAAGTGCCTCCTGCAGTACAAGCCAAACCTAAACGTACCTCACAGATAACCTGTCCAGCGACGAAGAAAAACTGTATGTACCTTCCTTCCTCATCACCACCCCCTCCAATGACCATTACACAGGAAATATCGACCCCTCGTCAGGAAACCTTAACTCCACCGACAGCTCAGCCAGAAGCAGAACAAGAAGTCACGCTTGAATTGGAGGAACAGGGAGTGCATGAATTGAGTGAACAAGGAACAAGCTGTCAGACGGATTTTCCTCTTATTCACCCATCTCTGCAAGACGAAGCAAGTGATTACAACGAGCAGCCGCTACGAAGACCATCACGCAGCCGTTGCCATCCAGACCGTCTGAACGATATGTCATACCGTAATTGAACTTCATTTCAGCTTAGTTCTATATGTACAAAGGACGCAAGGATACATTTATTAGTTAGACTTTAGTTTGCTTTTATTTAGTTTAGTTAGTTGTTTAGAAATAGACAGTGAAAGAAAAGTGGTTACGCCATATATATATATATATATATATATATAGTACAATCTGCAGACATGCATGTTTCGGCGTGCAACGCCTCGTTAGTGCAGCTTGGTACACGTCTAGATACGTGAGACACTCGTATTTATACCCCATGAACTTGCTCTCACCAAGGCATGTGGTACAACACGGTGACTCAACGCATCCAGAAATGCGCAGAGCGTAAGGGGGCCAGAGTGCTCAAACGACCACAAGGGCAGTATAGCTCAGTGACTCAATCCACATATAACTCAGTGACTCGGACAATCTTGGGTTCCTTTGCTCCTTGTATTATTATCGGCCATATTGGTTTTTGTTCTCTCGTTAAGTTTTGTCTAAAATAAAACCTTTTTCCTTTATCCTTTATCCTGTCTGGTGTCGGGTCGGGTTGTATAATGACGTCACAAAGCGTGATGATTGCAGAGTATTCTGATCTTTGTAGCCACGGCGGAAAAACAATCCAACATGGCTACTGTCTGCTGTTCTTTTTCGTCTTTTAATAGAGGCTGTTCAAGTCATTGCTCTTTTCAGAACTCTTGCACAGGTCTTTCATCGCCAGCTTTCATAGGCCAGTACGAGAAAAGAAGTGGCGGTTTTACGTGTTGGGTTGCTGGTTGTTTTACCAACAATAAAATAAATCCCGAACTATATTCTGTAATATATAAAGCAGTTATATTCTGTGCTTTTATTGTTAGTCGATAATTCGTTGGTGTAGGCTTTGAATACTTAAATATTATAATGCAGCTGGTTCATTAAGGATTTACGTCCTTCTGGAAAATAACACCCTATGGCCTGTAGTTGGTAAGTAATCTTTACAGGGAACTAAATTTATCTACTTCTTACGCAGTTATTTTGATTCCACACTTTGATCATTTGGAAAATTATAAAAAAGGCTCGGGATTCTTTTATCTTTGCATGGTAAAACAACCACGTACGCAACAAGTAAAATCGCTTCTTTTACTCGTACTAGTCGATGAATGCGGACTGTTGCCGTTACTTTCAGGACTGCTAAACCTCTTGAAAACCCGTGAAAGACCTCTGAAAAGACTAGGGTCTTCATTGGCTTGAACAGCCTCTGAAAGACGACAAAGGACAGCAGCAAACTCTGTCATTCACCTACGACAGTAGCCCTGTTGGATTGTTTTCCCGCCGTGGCTATTTAGACCACAATTTTCCGCGCGCATTACCGGCCTCTTGACGTCATTATGCATAAGGTCTATTATAGACTTGCTAGAAAAATGAATATTAATCGAATTCTACCTCCTCCGCAGGCACTTTTCCCGGCAAATTTGCGGGCGGTGCAAATTTGCGGGACATATTTAGAAACGTGAAGCGAAAGACGAAGGATTTGCAAACAAGAAGGGAACAACAACTTGCTACATTAATGTATAAGATTAAACATAAAATGCTTCCAAACTACCTGCAGGATATTTTCATCAATACACAAGAAGTCCATAATCATAACACTAGGCATAGAGAATTTAATTATACATTACAAATGCCAAATACTAATGCTATGAAAAAATCATTGGGCTACAGAGGTGCGGAGACTTGGAATGCTCTCTCAATTGACCTGAAGTGGCTAGGAAGTTTAGGAACTTTTAAGAGTGGGGTAAAACAATGTAGATTGATATAATGTTAAGTTATAAAATTATTTTATATTTATAGTAGTTAGCACACGGCCTATTGGAAGATGACTTTTTCTGGTTGTTTTTGTAAATAATATACTGTGA